ACCCTAGGGAATCTTCCAAAAACCTCACTTCATCCTCTTCAATGTTGGTTCCGACCAATAAGCTCTTTTGACCAATTAATCCTCAAGTTAGACATCCTTTCAAGGAAGCTTTAGTTGAAACAATAACATCGAGGGTGGCACATTGGGTAAAAAGCTTGAAGCTGCTTTTAGCTTTTAAGGTTGAAGACTTTTTTAGGGTTTGGGGACTTATTGCTGCCTCATCATCTACAAGACAACAGTTTTTTGAGGCTTGGTCTCCTCTAACAGATGATTGGAAGAAGCTGAACTTTGATGGGAGTTGTGTGGGTAACCCAGGCCCTTCAGGCATTGGGGGGACCATTAAAGGTGAAAATGGACTCATTATTTCTCTGTACTCCGGTCCTAGAAGAGTGATGTGGCAAGGGTAGAGTTTCTAGCTGCAGCATATAGGGTTGAGAAGGCTAAAGAGTTGGGTATTAATAGACTGATCATCGAGGAAGACTCAAAAGCTGTGACAAAATGGTTGCAGAAAGGGGAAGGGGTGACATGGCAGTTGAAGAATGATTTCCAAAGATTTAAATGGATGTCAAGAAACATGTCAATTCAGGTGGGATGGGTTAGGAGATCTGCCAACAGTTTGGTAGATAACTTAGCAAAGCAAGGGGTTCAAAGAACACATGTTTTGGGCACATTTGTAATTCTGTCCTGGGTCAGCTTACTAAGCTGATTTCTTTCACAACTTGTTGTCATCCTAAAGTTTTCTAATTAATGAAATTCTTTCAAAGTTATTGATAAAAAAAAAAAAAAAAGTTTCAAAACCAGCCTGAGATTTTCCACTCCCTCCCTACTTTCTCCATCACAAAAAATGAGAATATCATTTGCAAACTGCAAGTGAGTGACCAAAACATTATCCTTCCCAACTGACCAACCCTTGAAAAGCTGCAAACAATTTGCTCTCGAAATCATACATTGTCCCATTAACTATTATTGAGTAGTGATTAGTTTGTAAACAGCCCTTAATCCATTTACACCACAAATTTCCAAAGCCATCCTCATAATATCAATCAAGAAGTTCCAATCCACCAAATCATAGGCTTTTTCCAAATCCAACTTGATAGCCACTCCTTTCCTCTTTGATCTCTTTTGAGCCTCCCCACATTCATTGTCAATTAAGATTTGATCAATAATCTGTCTATTCTGTACAAAGGCCCCTTGAGATTGAGAAACAAGTGGGGGGGGGATCACTTTCTTAATCCTCAACGGCAATACCTTAGCTATCACCTTGTAAATACTGGTGACTAGACCTATTGGTCTGAAATCCCCTGGCTGGTTGGCATTGTTCTTCTTTGGGATCAATGATAAAAATGTAGAGTTCATACCCAGACTTATCACCCCTCTCCTATAGAAGTCATTGAACACTCTGAGTAGATATCCTTTAATTATGTCCCAACAGTCTTGGTAGAATGCCATTGTGAAACCATCGAGTTCTGGTGTTTTTGATCTGTTCATAGAAAAGACCGCTTCCTTAATCTCTCCCTCTTCAAAACTTTTTTCCAAAACTTGGACTTGAGTCTCCCCCAATGTCTCCTAATTTATGCCTTCAATCCTCCACCTCTCAACTAGGGGTCTTCTATAAATAGACCTAAAATGCTCTTAGCAATCTCACCTTGGTCTGTGATCTCATTTTCCCCCACCAATAAAGAAGTAATCATTCTCTTCCTTTTCCTTCCATTTGCAATGGCATGGAAAAATTTTGTGTTCCCATCACCTTCTTTGATCCATCTCTCTCTTGATTTTTGCTTCTAGCATATTTCCTCCCTCAATAAAGTCTCCCCTAGTTCTTTCTTCAGATACCATTTTAATTCCTTATTACCTTCATATAAAGTTCCTTCTACCTCTTTGCTATCAATTGCCTCTATCTGAGAAATCAAATCAGCTTTCTTCTCCTCCAATCTTCCAAACTTCTCCTTATTCCACTCCTTGATCTCCTTTTTCAACAATTGGAGTTTCTTTAGGAACTTTTGGCCTTCTCACATTGGAGATTGGTCCAAGCTATTCCACCAAACCTTGAGTTTCTCTTTAAAATCCGGGTGAGTAAGCCACATATTTTCAAATCTAAATGGAGTTGGGCTACCATCACTAATTTTCTAAACAAACAGATGGGCCAATGGTCTGAGGTGATTCTAGGTAGATTTCTCCCAACTAATCCTGGTCACTCTTCCCAATTGGGTGAAACTAAAAATCTATCAAGCTTGGATAGAATAGGGGTTGTTTGAAGGTTTGGCCAAGTATAACAAGATTGCCCCAAGGGAATATCTCTCAGCTCAAAAGCTTCAATAAAATAATTGAACTTTCTCATACTTGATGTAGTTCTTTGTCTACCCCCGGTTGTCTTACTCACAAATCTTATTACATTGAAATCTCCCCCTAGACACCAAGGTCCTTCCCAAAGTCCCCTAATATTCTCTAGCTCTTCCCACATTTTATTCCTTTCTCTGAGTTTGGCCCGTAAACATTTGTGAGAACCCATTCAAATCCATCTTGCACACCCTTCAACTTGATAGAAACTGAGAATCTGCCCACTAATTCTTCCAAACATTGAACTGCTTCTTCTCTCCACATAGTTATAATGCCCCCTCGATTCACCCCAAGAGGGAGCAAGGCTCCAATTAATATTCCTCTCTCCCCACATGCTCCTTATCCACTTCTTGTCTACTTCCTGAATTTTGGATTCTTGGATTAGAACAAAATCTGGTCTCTCCTTCCTCAATAACTCTTTGATCATTCCTTTTTTTGTTGCACTTCCTAATCTCCTTACATTCCAACTAATAATCTTCATGATCACACCAAAGACAAATCCCAGACCTCAGCTAGCCTATAAGCCCCCTCTCCTTCTTCCTCCCCTAGCACTGAACTCCTTATCCCCTTCCACATCACTAATGAGTTTTTCAACTTCATTTAGCTTCCTTCTCCTCTTGCCCCCCTTTTCTTTATTTGCTTCTTTAATTTTTTCCACTTTCAACCCCATTTTATCAGCCAAGTCCACCACCGGGTCCCTTGCACTCGGATCTTCTTGACCTCTTTTACTCTCTCCTGTCTCCTTTTCTTTCTTCCCCTTAACTAATACCCTCCCAACCTCATCTCTCGATCCTTCCTGGGATTGATTCCTTTTGGTGATTTCTTCTTCCCCATCTGTACCCAACTCCTTATTAGTCACTACTCCTTAGTCTTCTGCATCCTTTCACCCCTAACCTCAGAAACACCCACCCCTCCTTTCTCACCAGTTGTCTCTCTCTCACCAACTTCACCTCCTAATCCTCTACTCATCTCTCCTTCTGCCGACAGATTCATGGGCAAATCATAGCCAAGGATGGGAGCTGAAGGATCTGTAGGACCATTAAAACACAGGTTAACATCAAAATCTAAACCAACAGAGTTTCCGAGGTTACCGTGAAAGACTGAGATGTAGATACAATAGGAGTTTTAGTAACAAAAGCTTCGGTACCCTGTTCCTTTTGGTGGCTCTCCATACCCCCCAGCTTCAGTTCTAATTAAATGGGAAGGCTTCGAAGGAGTATTTGACTTGGCCATCTCAGCACTTGTACCACCGCCCAGGATATCCTTTGTAACCTCCTGGTTCCCCTGCCGAAGCACCAATTTGTCATCTTGCTTTTGTCTCTCGCCTGGAATGAGATCATTATCCCCTTGGATACCTCTATTCCCCTCCTGACAATTTGAAAGATCCTTCAAGCCACTATCTGGTGTCAGCCGTAGATCACCATCTCTGTTTTTAGTTGAATGAGATAAGTCTCCAACTTGTGAACTCCTCTTGTTAGCTACAGCCTCCCTTCCATCAAACTTATGTTTTATGCCTCTTAGGAAATGAGGATAGGCTTTGCAAATACCTCTCCAAAGGCTGCAGCCAGAAGTAATATCTAGAATATTTGCATTCCCACCCATTGCTTTCAACACCATACTTACCCACAATGATCTTCTTCCAAAGACTGTCTGGATCACTRAAGAACCTCCATAACCATTCTTGAAGGAGGGAGAGATTGAATTGCTTTACCTTTGGTGCCCAAACCACTATATCTGACAGGCTTACAGACTTCAACCCAACTAACTGAGCTTTAGAAGGATTTTTCCAACCTGACCATCTTGTGAACTCCTCCACGCAGTATCGGTAGTTTTCACTAGGGAATATATTGATTCTAGTAATATTTCATATCAGTAYTCATGGAAATGGAAATATAAAATATGTCATGTATATTTGTAAATATGCCAGCATTTTAAACCATGCATTTATCTAGTCTCATAACATTCTTTGATTTCATCTACAACAAATAGAAAGGCCTTTATTTTGGTCTAAGGTAGAGAAAAAAATGATAGGCATAGAAGAGTTAGAAGAGAGGAAATAAAGGCTAAATAGAAATAGGAGAGGAAAAAGAATTGAGCTTTTCAGGCTTGGAACTCATGAAAGCAGAACTCTGAGAGCATGGCATCCGTCTGCACATAGAAATATTGTCCTTATAGAAAAATATCAGAAGTATCTTCCCTGCATGTATATTAAATTCACAGGTAAATGTTCTGAATGTGTTTTCTGGATGCCTGTGCTTTCAGAATGTTCAGATTTTTGCTTTCAGAAGATTCCTCGTGAGCTTTTCTATTAATGGTACTTGGGTTTCCTCCAGGATTTTGAAGGAAATCTTGAAATATGGTTCACAGTTTCCCTTCTGAAACCAGATTCTAGAGCCCTGGTTGGAAATTTGTGCTTTAATAAATTCAGGAGGGCACCATGTATTGAATTTTTCCATTTGCTTCTGCATTCATTTAGTATGAGTGTTAGATGGGTGAACTGTTATTCTTTAAATAGTATGCAAATCTGCCATGGACACATTTGTAATTTTGCTATACCAAATAGTATTAATCCTATTCTTGAACCCAAAGTTCTATTATGATTCCTTATGATTCCTTTATTACTATTCCTGGATATCATTTATCTGAAATTCTTGTTACAACAGTATCGGCAAATGAGACGGAAGGAGCAAGATCGGCTTGCTAGGATGGATGTAGACTACCAGAAAAGGAAGGAACTAGCTGAGTTTAATATGAGAAGGGAAGAAAGAATGAAAGTTGCAGAAGAGAGAACTGCAAAGAAGCGCTTGAAACGCCAAAAGAAGAAACAAAGAAAGAAGGAGAAGAAAGCTAAATTGGGTGGGGGAGAGCAAGAGAAAGAAGACTCTTCAGCTGACAATGACTCAGATAGTGGTGAAGATGAAAAGTGAGGCACAGTTTTGTTTACCTTGTCTTTTTTTTTTTTGGGGGGGGGGG